TAAAGTTATGACATGAAGTATTCGCTATACCATTGAAACCCCAAAACTAGATGATGATGACGATGGGCATAAATAAGTGACATGACTTATATTCTCTATTTCGGTATGTTCAAAACTGTGTACGTGAGCGCACTGTTTTATCCGGGTAACTAAAACTGAATTGAATTTGAAGTGTATATAATCAGCTGCTAACTTTTATTTAATCACACATGATATGTTCAATGGGGAAACAAGTGCTTTTTATTATCACGCTTTTTCAAAACCCAGCTGGAAACTTTAGAAACAGGATTGCAAGTGAACTTCAAGCACTCATTAAGTGTCGAAGTATTTATTCTGATAAAGTGTTTTAATTGTTAATTAATTAATTGATCAGACTGATTGTGTGTGTGTGGACATATGCAAAACTGTCACAAGATTATCAATTTTAATCAATATTTTGCATCTCTAATTCAAATTTAGCGTAATTCTCAGATAAAGGAATTGAAAGTTCCAAATGATTTCCCCAATCAACGGGAGATTACAATTTTATCGACTCCTGACACTGATTTAAAGAGTAAATATACTAATGGTCAAACAACAACCATGGAAAAACGTGGTCATATTGAATCAATGTGCTCTTCTAATGATTCTAACTCAATCATTCAGTCAAATAGTTTGAAATATCTGACAGACAGAGAAGTTCATATTAATAGTACGAATTATCCATACAAGAACACTTTCTCTAGCGAACTGTCATTACCGCAATATATTGATCAAGATAGAATAACTGACAATTCTCAGCATTCCTTCATTCGTCAAGAATGTTGTCGAAGATGTACAATACTATAGTTTAATAGTTCCCTTTTATTATTATATGAAACAAATCTAAATGTTTATTTACGTTGCCTTCTTTTCTGTAATATTTGTTCTTCCTAAATCTCCTTTATAATTCTGTAAGTTTTTGAGAAAATAAGCATTCTTCATATTTTTAATTGTAATCTAACTGGATATAAATGATAGTGGAGAGTCAGATGAAAATCGTTTCAAATCGTATAACAATTCTACTAGTTTCGATTTAATTGATTCCCTATCTGATAGGTTATAGTACATAATTCTTCCTACATTCAACTGCAATCACTTGATTATCATTCGTTTAAAATTTTCCTTAAACAAATTACTAATTTTCTACTAAGAATTTTTTCGGTTACAATAATTAATATTTGAAAAATAAATAAAAATACTTCACTCCCTTATTTTGCTAAAACACCGTGAACTAGTTTCTTAACTGAATTGATCTTGCTGTTTCAAATGCACTTTACTTTTCTTGAGCTTATACTTGAAGATGGTGATGATTACTCTCAGTTGCTATTGGATGAGAACTATAAGGAAGAAAAAAATCTATGAGAAACTAACTTTTGAACATTAAACGTAAAAACCACAGTTTGAAAAACTCTGAAACTATCGGATTTGTTCTGTTTATTTCCATAACTAAATGATGTTATGTAACGATTAGACTAATGAAGTAAACACAATTCTTTTTTTAAAAACATAATGTAATATTTGTTTTTCATTTCTGTAACTTTTTTTGAGCTCCAAATCGTCTTCATCATTATTGTCTGCTGCAGCAGTATCACCATGAACATGGCAAGTTTTTTCATACTTTCACGAAAAATACATTTGGCAATATTGTTAGATATCATGTGTTTCATATTTCTCTTTTGATTATACATATTTACGTATGGTGTTGTTTGACGCGGTTCAGATTTTTACCTGAAATCAATAGAAGTAAATTTCATCTTACGTAAATGGGAAAATATGAAATGTGTTGATTTATAAGATAACAAAATATCGTCTATAAAATACAATATAATAAATTTCAGTTTAATCATCTTTATTCCTATTATTTTTTAAATGTAATTCGCTAATGACTCATGAACATGCATCTTGAATGAGACGACACTAATTGATAAAAACAAAACAATTATGATACTTGGCCAAAAATCTAATTATTTGGATTTAATTTTCATTGAGTTTGAATAAGAAATTTTATAATGTTTTTTTTTACTATGAAATGATAGTACGTAGTATCCAGGTGGACTGATGGTTTTAGATGGTGAAATCAGGAAATATTGTGAATGGCGGTTTTTTAGTAAACAGAAGTGGATGAATTTCACGATGAGGTTCTACTGTATTATATTTTGTGATTACACTATCTTTTTATTGAACAAGAGAATCGATCATTACAGAAAATCACTTAAAATATTTCAAATAAACAGGAGAATTTTTTTACCGAATCATCCAGTTTTGTAAATACATTTTAAAATCTCGATAACAAGACTAATGCACTGTTTAGTTTTCACATTTTTGAAAACTCCATTCCAGTGAGTGATGTGCACACATTTCCTGTGATTCTATCACCACTAAAAAAGTACCATACGTAAGTGGAATGATCAGCTGTTGCTTTTGAAATTCCTTTTTCGATGTCAGAATAAGTTGGTAGAAAAAAGAAACTACAAAGAACAACACCTATCTTCAAAGAAATGGATGACGTTTCCTTATTCGTTGTTAATCTGCTTTAATTTAAGGAATGTTTCAAATATAAGAGAATTATAAGTTTCGATAAAGCAATCAGAAGATGGAGTTGATCTAAAAAAAATGTGATATATTTGCGCAATACATTTCGAACAATCTAGTCACACATATACTTGTTACAGCATTTTATATATAAATTAATAAAGGTCAATTAAATGAAATCTCGAGTAAAAATGGTAACAGAGGGAAGAGAACAATTTTTAAATCGTATAGAAAGGATAAGAATTTGTTGCATAAAATGACTTGAGGATTACCAGGGTAAATTCAAGGTTACGACAAATTGTTTTTGTACACAAAAGGGGGGTTCAAGTTTACGAATAGCCAAGCCTTCAATAAACCTGAGAATTCGTTTTTGCCAAAAGAATTAGAAATATTTTTACAAGTTGTTCTTAATCGAAAACCATCAAAGATACAAATTAGTCAGAATGTTTGCAAAAATATTATAAATGCATGAATATTATAAAGTAGAAAGTAATTCATGAAATAAATATCGAGTTCAAAATGACCACAGTAGAACAGAACAATATAAGCTAAATTCCTCAAGAGTAACATAGATGAAATTAGATTACTGAAGCTTGATAGTATGAAGAACAAAAGTCAGTACGGTATTCAGTACGTTCTTTCGATCTCTAAACTCTAGTATTAAGTGGATTTTATTTCCCGAATATGGCGAAGACTTGCTCTAACGAAAATACATAAAAACCTAACAACTAATCTCAGTGATAAAATACTGAAAGATCTATCAAAACTTATGATAGTTTCTCAAATAATGAATAAAAAGTGGGGTGAATAACCAACACAATTACTGTACTGTTAAATATTTTATATTACGTTTAAACATACCATAATAATGCAGCACAATTTCATACTACCTACTTAGAATTTCACTTCTTGATTATGTCTTGTCAAAGTGCTATACTTATCGGGATTAATACTATTTCGTCATATTATTTCAAATTCACATCTGATGTCGCAACACAAATAGATCCAAGTAACTTGGAGAAATCGCCCATCAACGCCTCACCCCGAGAAGTGTAAAAAAGCATAGTTCAACAAATTAGTTCGTGTTTCCAATCAGACTATTACACTTTTCATGGCACACTTTCAGACACCAGCTTCTAAGCGCAAATTCAGTGAACAGCTGTGTATCCAACTTCGCGACTACCTGATTGCTGTTGTGAACAATTCTAAACCAAAGAAGCAGTTTATACAAATCCCTTTGAGATGGTGGTGAAGATTTGTAGCTTAGGTAATTGGTTTTGGTGAAGTTTTGTTCTCTGAGCTGGATGGTTTTAGTCGTGAGGCTTTCATCGTTCTTCTGAACGACATCATCAGCACAAACTTCAGGTAGGAGCGAGTGTTCGAATTTCTTTATATATGACTCATAGCTTGTCCTGTAGACCTCGATCTTGATTGGTTAATACTGACCAATTCCCTCCTTCACTTTTCAGATAACCAAAGACTTCTGTTTTACTTACGAAGATGTCAATTATAATCCACTTAACGCCGTCATGAAACAACATGAAGTTTTATTGTCGAATTTGAATAAATGTGCCGTACTGCAAAAACCTCAGACTTCTAACAAGAACAGTTACGATTCATTCAGACAAGTAAATAATTCAAAAAGCACTTTTAATTTTTTTCGTGTAGTCTATCCTGTATTTCATATAGTAAGCCCCGTCTTCATATGTCAGGTCAATTTTGTTATGCACGTTGCCGTAAGTGTAAAATGGTTGGCTCCAAGTTGTTTACTACTAAAACGATAGTTGTTCAAGACCGGTTGATTTGAACAAAAAGTTGGATTCGTTGTCTCTCACTACTGCCTGAATCGATACTTCACATTTAATGCAAAAATTAATTGGAATCCCAGGCATGTCCCATTCATGGAGTCAATTATTTCTCTGAAAGAGTTATTGCTTTTTCAATAATTGTATCTTTTTAAAACCTGCAAGTGGTGCAATTACTCTTGTAGCGGTAAATAAATCCCAAAATAAATAGCACTGTAAGTTTTCGACATTGGATGCTGACCATATGTTTTAGTGGACTCATCTAGCTGAAGGCGCTCGGTCAGGCATCCGCACCAGATCACGTGTGGTAACGCCGTGCTCAACATCAACCACAATCGCTAGCCAGATTAGATCAGAGAATTCTGATATATTGGTAATCGCCAAATATACTCTTCCGATCTCCTCGACTCTGTCTTTTGATTTCTCTGGGTGGGAACGAAATATATTAGGTGTTACTGGTAGAAGCGTTGTCAAACACTGAATACCTGTGACATCATCATTGGTGAGACCGACGTGATCTGGTACACCTTATTGCAACTGTGAGTCTGTTCCTTTTTGGGATTTTTATATATCATTGTCTTATTTTTTATTTTAAACATTGTGATTTTTTTTCGTGTTTTTTCTTGGATATATATATCTTTTCCCCTCGTTCATTATCGTACTTCATACTTCATCATGACTGAACAGACACCTAAAGTACTCAAGCTTAAGACTTTGTCCCCGCCTTCGTTTCAACTGATGCCTTTCTGGCCCGACAACATCGAAGCCTGGTTTTGCTACGCAGAAGCCGACTTCCACGAGCACGGCGTGATCGACACACGTGCACAATTCCTCGCAGTGGTCAAGGCACTACCGCGCGAATTCAACAGGTACGTAACACCTAGTATGTTTACTAGTGATGTTTCCGATCCTTACGAAATCTTAAAACGCTCGATTCTTAAACGAGGAGACCTAACCGATCGACAAAGGTTAGATCAACTCTTCAACAATATCGACCTGCAACACGGTTCTGCGACGGACATGTTGCAACGGATGAGAGAAGTAATAGACCCAAGAACTTTCGACGAAGCTCTATTCAAACAACTCTTCTTGTCAAAACTTCCCCAACAGGTGCAAGCAGTTCTGGTCTCGTTCCAGAACAACGCCTTAGAAGAGCTAGCTGCATCTGCCGACCGCATTTTAGAAATTACGAAACCTTCTACTACCGAGGTATTTTCAGTCAAAGAAAAACCTCAAACGACTCAGAATGATATAAACGACTTATGTCACACACTCACGCGTTATCTTAGTCTTCGTACCGACTGTAAGAGATCGCGCACACCACGTAGAAGCATTTCTCGTAAGCGATCTGTCTCTAGACCACGAGAGACAGATAACCCCGACTGGTGCTGGTATCATAACCAGTATGGAAAGTTTTCCAGAAATTGCAGAAAACCCTGAGATTTTCCCAACACGAAACCGACTGATTCGAAAAGCAATTCGGGAAACTTCCAAGCCGGCACGCGTTAACGGCAACCGTAGCCGGCGAACAAAGCCGTCTGTTATTCGTCACAGATGTGACAACGAGAGTTCGCTACCTCGTCGACACTGGCGCAGAAGTTAGCGTTCTCCCAGCAAATCCTAACGACTGACTTCACGAATCGACCCTAAACTTACAGGCGGCAAACAGAAAACCGATCACTACGTATGGCAAAAGGTACGTTTACCTTAACGTGGGTTTACACAAACCCATTCACTGAATCTTCGTTGTTGCTGATGTTTCTATGCCAATCATTGGTATGGATCTTCTACAACACCATAATCTGATCATCGACACGCGCAAACGGAGGCTAGTAGACGGAAACACTAATTTGTCCGTTTGCGTAACTTCTTTCACTGGTTGCAGAGTATCCCCAGTCACAGTTAAACATATGATAGACCCACTCTATCAGCCACTTCTCGATAAGTATCCTGGGATACAACAAACGCAACCGAGATCACCGTGTGTAAGCAGCAACGTTACACATCACATCACGACTACAGGACCACCTGTATTTTCTAAAGCACGACGACTAGCTCCCGAAAAGCTAAGGTTAGCGAAAAACGAATTCGACCATATGATAGACTTAGGAATCGTACGACCGTCAAGTAGCCCATATGCATCTCCGTTGCACATGGTCCCTAAAAAGGACAGCAACGATTGGCGTCCAACTGGTGACTATCGGCGATTGAACGCGAAAACCATTCCCGATCGTTACCCGTTGCCTCACATTCACGATTTGACAGCTACCTTGAAAGGTACAACTGTCTTTTCGAAAATCGACTTGGTTAAAGCGTATAACCAAATCCCTATGGCTACTGACGACATACCGAAAACAGCTATCATAACTCCCTTCGGACTCTTTGAATTTTTGCGAATGCCTTTCGGTCTAAGGAATGCTGCTCAAACATTCCAAAGATTCATAGACGACGTTTTTCGAGGTCTCAACTTCGTACACGCGTATGTTGACGACTGCCTAATCGCAAGTCCGGACAGAGAAACACATCTCAAGCATCTGGATCTTGTTTTCGAACGATTACAAAAACATGGCATTACTGTAAACGTTCAGAAATGCCAATTTGGAACCGACTCATTAGACTTTCTGGGACACACTATCGATGCTCAAGGTATCCGACCCCTTAGAACCAAAGTGGCGGCCATTCTGGATTACCCAGAACCGACTACCGTCAAGCAATTACGCACGTTTAACGGCCTCGTAAGTTTCTATAGACGTTTCATACCGAAATGCGCATTGCTTATGAAACCTCTGACCGACCAACTTCGTGGAAATGCGAAATCCATTAATTTGGACGACACGGCACGAAAAGCATTCTCCACAGTTAAGGAACTGATTGCTAATTCAACGATGCTCGCACATCAGGACACCCGAGCACCCATTAGTATCGCAGTAGACGCATCCGACTCGGCAATCGGTGGCGTCTTACAACAATGGGTTAACAACTCCTGGCAACCCTTGGCATTTTTCTCTAGAAGGTTGCTAGACACCGAATCGAGGTACAGCACATTCGGTAGGGAACTCCTAGCTATGTATTGTGCTGTACGGCATTTCCAACACTACATCGAAGGTCGTGAATTCACTCTTTTCACGGACCATAAACCGCTCACTTTCTCGTTAAGCTCTCCTTCTGACAAGTACTCTCCCCGTGAGTCTCGACAACTGGACTACATTTCGCAGTTTACTTCGGATATTCAACACATCTCTGGAGCAAACAATGTAGTTGCAGACGCCTTATCTCGCATAACTTCCTTGAACAGTTTCCAAGGAATCGACCTTCTTAAACTCGCCGAGCTTCAAAAAGAAGACAGTGATCTTCAGCACGAGTTATCGTCCACAACACTTAAACTACGCATCAAACAGATGAGAACAGGTAAAGAAACCTTACTGTGTGACACATCTACAGGTAGGGATCGCCCAATCGTGCCGAAACATTATCGACTCAATGTCTTCAACACATTGCACAAACTTTCGCATCCAGGTGTTCGTGCAACCATCAAGCTTATAGCAGAAAGGTTTTGCTGGCCTGGCATGAATAAAGACGTGAGGGAGTGGGCATGCTCCTGTGTAAGCTGCCAAAAATCTAAGGTTATCAGACACAATAAATGTCCCCTAGGCTCGTTTAAAACTCCCGATGCTCGTTTCGACCATGTCCATCTGGATTTGGTAGGACCTTTACCAGATTCAAATGGATACTCTTACCTCTTAACCTGCGTAGACCGTTTCACTCGATAGCCAGAAGCAGTACCTATTAAGGACATCACTGCTGAAACAGTGGCCCGCACCTTCGTCGAACGATGGGTAGCAAACTTCGGTTGCCCTTCAACCATCACCACAGACCGCGGACGTCAGTTTGAATCTGAACTTTTCCGTCGTCTGACCACACTTTTAGGAATCACTCGCTTCCGAACGACCGCCTACCATCCACAAGCAAACGGGTTGGTAGAACGTTTTCACCGACAACTAAAAGCTTCACTACCAGCTGCAAACGTTTCACAGTGGACCGATGCGCTTCCACTCGTCTTACTAGGTATCCGCAATGCAGTGAAAGCTGACATCGGATACACTGCGGTTCAACTCGTTTATGGAACGACACTTCGACTTCCAGGAGAATTCGTGGATCCTTCATCCTCTTCAATGAACATGGATCTAACCTCCTACACGAACAGGCTTGCAAACGCAATGAGTTCAATTAAACCTGCTTCCACTCGACCTCAATCAACTGATGTTTTCGTTCAACCTGATTTACGATATAGTACACACGTTTTCGTTCGTCGAGACTCGCATCGACGACCCTTCGAATCAGCATACGAAGGACCCTTCAAAGTTCTTCAACGTGAATCTAAGTACTATATAGTCGATAAGAACGGAACCAACGATAGCATCAGCATCGATCGCTTAAAAGCGGCGTATTTAGAAGGAAATCCTATCTACGTGGATTTTCCTTCGGTACAATCGAACGACACGACTCCGACGCTTATAATACCTCATCCGACAACCAACACTAGGGATGATACTTCGACAGTATCCGAAAATAAACTGAAAACGACGCGTTCTGGAAGAAGGGTGAGATTTCCAGAACATTTAAACGACTACTGCACGTAAGGCACTACTCGACATTTTATATTATCCCGATCTTTCTTTTTAACGATATATAATTTTTTTTAAAAAGACAATTTTATTATGCCTATATATTTATATTTTTATTAAAAAAAACAAAACAAAACATAAAAAACATTTTTTTTAACGCTATTACGTGTGCTTGAGTATATTTTCCATTGTGTTTTTACGCACATACGAGTGTATTTCGACATGCACTTACACTTTCTTTTTTCTTTTCCAGGACGACTGGAAAAGAACGATGCAGTTTACGAGGAGTCGAAATTTTCGTTGTAACTCTTTCTTTTTTTACTATGTTGTACCTCCGTCCCATATGGTAAGGAAAGACGACCAGACGCTGCTACACTTAGTAAGCTATCAGAAGAGTGTTTACCAACGACAAACTCGTTTGGTTTAAACTTCTGGCTGGCCACGTCTTAGGGTCGTCACTGCCCCACTAGTGGGGGAATGATCTGTAGCGGTAAATAAATCCCAAAATAAATAGCACTGTAAGTTTTCGACATTGGATGCTGACCATATGTTTTAGTGGACTCATCTAGCTGAAGGCGCTCGGTCAGGCATCCGCACCAGATCACGTGTGGTAACGCCGTGCTCAACATCAACCACAATCGCTAGCCAGATTAGATCAGAGAATTCTGATATATTGGTAATCGCCAAATATACTCTTCCGATCTCCTCGACTCTGTCTTTTGATTTCTCTGGGTGGGAACGAAATACATTAGAAGGTGTTACTGGTAGAAGCGTTGTCAAACACTGAATACCTGTGACATCATCAAGGTTATCAAAATTTGGTTTGAGTAGGCGAGAGAATAAAAAACTAGTGACTTGACCAGTCAGAATTCACGACACCATAAGTTCACAACCTCCATAACAAATCATCCTTTGCTTAGAACTGATCTTTCTGTTAGAATGGTTATGGTAGTCAGATAATCTAAATAACCACAAGACAGATCGCTGTTTCGGGATAAGTTAACAACAGAATATTATTTACAGAATTGTTATTGATAAGGAGTATAGATAAAAGAAACCCTACATCACGATCAGTGTAATTTTTTGTTTAATGATGACGTTAGCAAAAGGCGGTCGCTCGAACTCTCTTAAGAAGCATGTACGTTTTAAATACATTTCTCTCTTCATAAGTGTCAAGACCCAAAATAAGAACAGGTAGTGAAATACTTGGTTTCATAGACCAATACTCATGTCTTAGCGGCCGGGCGTAGGTAGGTAAAACTATAAATCAACTGACATCTTACTGCAACAACAAAAATATCCGAGCACCAGTTCAAATGACCTTACTTCCTAGATTTATGCAAGAATAAGAATTCCTATTTTTTCAGCGATGAATTTCCGAGTGTACGACAAAAGTCAGCTAGTTTCACGAAATACCGATCTTAGTCTAATAACAGCTTCAATCAGATTATCAGACATTTACTTCTGTTTATACGGCGAAAACATGAAGAAAAGTGTTTACAGTCCCATCAGCCTTCAAGATATAGTGTGAAACAGATTAAGAGAACTCGGCTGAGTTATGACAATTTAAGTCAGTTGTGGGGTAGTTGGCGTGACTGTTTCTCAACCAAAAGACGAATATACTGCTCAGTAGTTCGACGTTTTCCTTTATGATGGTGGAAAGTAGTCTTTAAGAAGAACATTTTGGGTCATTAGCACTTGATCACAAATGCCTTAGGAACAGAGCTCATATATATTAGGACCATCAAATTAGAAACTCTGAGGTTAGATGCAGAGCACTATGTAAGAATGACAAGCCGATAGATGACGTAGTCAATTTTTATAAACGAAAACGTTGAACTACTGGGCAGTATATTTGTCCTTTGGTTGAGAAATAGTGTGGTGTTTGAATGAACTAATGATTCCTTTTTTACCTGTTGAATGCTTGATTTCGAATTCTCAGTACAGTACATTCGTTTGTTCTTATCTAATACTTCCTGATCCGGTTACGTTCTTTCTGGGATTCTTGGTTCATACTATAATTCAAATACTCCTAGTCATCATATTGGCGTCGCGATGGAGTCTGTGATGGAACGGTTGGAAATACACCCATATTTTGAGGATTGCCTTGAAAGTTTCGAAATCTGGCCTATGTCCAAGGAAGATGATGAGGATGTTAATATTGTGGCACACTTCCTCACATTCATTGGAAAAGAAGCATACAGCTTATTAAGAACTCTGGTTATGCCGGAAAAGCCTATCTCGCTTCCTCATACAGCTCTCAAGTAACTGCTGCTAGACTATGTTCAGTATACAAATTTCGAATGTCGTAAAGGAGGAAGACTTCGTAAAATGATTCATGAGGGTTTAAAAAATTCCACTACATTACGTCATCCCAACCTAGTTCATACTCAAGATTATGCAGACAATTCATTGAGGAGTTGCAATGCATTTCACGAAGATGGGCACAAGTTTAGTCAGTGTTTGTCCTGTGTCAGGTTCCACTCTTTTAATTCATGTAAATTTCGTAATTCTAAGTGCTTTAAATGTGCTGATATTGGACATATTCAGTCAGTCTGTAATACTAATGTTCATCTTATTGCAACTAATATTAAGAGTTGTAATTCTGATTCTACTGAGTCAAGTATTTATAATGATGATTTATCTTTATCAACGATTGCAATAGACAATGTAGAGTCACAAAGTAGTTCAGAGTTAAATGAAATCCAGAATTCTTGCGAAACAACAGTTTCTAACCAATCGAT